GCTGCCTTTGCCTGTCTGCTCTGTATCAGAAAAGAAGCCAGCCAGCACCCGGGCCCCCACATAAGCAGGAAAGAGGAGAAGAGGAGAAGGCCTGTGCTTTCCTCAGCTATTGCTTCGGTGCCACAGCTCCTGGAGCCCTGTCCGTAATCCCCCGCATTTCTCACTGTGCACATCCCCAGGGAGCGTATTCAGTGTCCCACTCGGGACTATCACCGCTTGCCTCCCTGGTGCTATCCTTTGTTCACTCTGGAAAGCATCAGGCTTCCTCTTTCCCGCCTCCTGCCTCCACCATCCTCTGTTGTGTGTGGCGCTGCATAGTTTCCTCCACCCAGCCAGTTCCTATTCTTCTTTCAAGCCTTGCATCAAGAGCACACTTCTTCTTCTACCTCTAGTAAAGGTAAAGTCTTGAGACCTTTTGTGGATTTTCTTGTCCAATTCTTTGTTCAGAACAGTAAGAACCTGGAAAGGCCCAGGCCGCAATAACAGTACTCTGAGAAAACAATAGATTCATCAGGGATCATCATGTCCTCCAGGCACCCCTCTAAGAACCTTGTCCTGCTACCTTTGTATCTCAGAGCTTAACACAGAGCTTTAGGGATTGATTCCATTGTCCAGAGATTTAAAAACCAGGACTTCAGCTGGGAGAGGTGGTGCACACCTGTAGTCCCAGCATGTGGGAGGGCAAACAGGACTGTCTGTCTCAAGTTGGGGCCCAGACAGAGCAATTTAGCAACTTAGCAAAATCTTGTCTCTAATAAAAAAGAAAATAGGGTAGAGGATATAGCTCAGTTCAAAGGCCTTGGTTCAACCCCGGCAGCAAAAAAATAAGGAAATAAAACTAAATGAATAAAACTTACCACACTGGAATATAGTTCAGTGGCACAAAGTCCTGAGTTCAATTCCTGGTTTAAAAAAAAACAAAACAATAAACAAAACAAAATAAAAAACTGATCAGTCACAAAACACTATTGGGTAGATTTTGTTAGTGTTCTCAGTTTATAAATGAAGATTCTGGGGATTCAGCTCAGTGGCACAGTGCCTTCCTAGCAAGTGCGAGGTCATGAGTTCAATTCCCGGCATCCAAAAAAGTGAAGATTCTGATTCTTTGTAAGACTGAATAATTTTCCACACCACAAATTTTTTTCTTTTTGAGACAGGGTCTCGCTATGCAGTTCAGGCTGGCCTTGAACTCACTACGAAGCCCAGGCTGGCTTTGAACTCGATCTTCCTGCCTCAGCCTCCTGGGTGCTGGAACTACCGGTGTGTGTCACCATGCCCAGCCAGGAGATTCGGTTTAAAGACTTGAATGAACCGATAGTGCTAGTGAATAGAACACTTTTCTCAGTATGGTATTTTATATTATAGGAAAGATCCAGGCTTAGGAGAGGGTGATGCTGTCTTAAGTTATTTTTCTATGCCTGAAAGTCAAATTAGAGGCTTACATATAGAAATCAAAGCAGGGGTACAGTCTACACACTTTAATCCCAGCACTGAGAGAGGCTGAAGCAGGAAGATCACAAATACAGGTCCCACATGAGCAACTTAATGAGACCAAAAAAATGAATGAATGAATGACTTTCTGGGATATAACTCAGTGGTGGAGCAGCTGGGGTTTAAATCCCCAATATGGGAGTGGTAGGAGGAGCGAGATATCTGTAGTATGTTTGGGGTTAGCTCATAGAATTTCAAAAATTAGTACATCACAGGAACACAGCGGGCTGAGGTGTAGCTCAGCAGTAGAATGCTTGTCTAACATGTGCAAGTTTTAGTTCAAGCCCTGCACTCCACCAAGGCAAAACAAAAGCAGAAAGAAAAGAAAAACACAGAATTTTTTAATATCACTCATTTATGTCATGACTCATAAAAAGAATCAGGTGGGGATGATTTGCAGCGTTTCTGGCATCGGATCGATGATCGCTAATACTTTCCTCCTACTGATCCATCTGCACAAACAAAACTGTGCTCTCCCTGGACACTGTAACCCAAAACTTCCTACACTGTTTCCTTCAGGGTTCTGACAAATGTAAATCCTCAGAATCAGAAATCTTTAAAATCTATATTCTATAAAGTCACATGTATATTTATTTTTTCCTTAAAAAAAAAAAAAACAAAGTATGCCATTAATGGCAAAACACACATTTTATACAATCCTGTACCTACATATACTTCCTGAAATTCTTTACCTTTGCCAATCGTTTTCATCCTGCTGTGGTTTACTAGCATGCCGCCTAAAGGATGAGGGAGGGGCTGGGGATTTAGCTCAGCGGCACAGCGCCTGCCTGGCAAGCACAAGGTTGTGAGTTCGATTCCCGGTACCGGAAGAAAAAACAAAACAACAACAACAAAAAATAAATAAAGGATGATGGAGAAGACTTTGTATAGTAAGGGAAAATAATTGTGTTTCAGAGGCATAAGCAGACATATTGTGTAGGAAAACAATTGTGCGGAGAAGTTAAACACCAAGAGTGCCTGGACGGTTAGCTGCGGAGCACAGCACGCACTTAGCATGAGCAAGGCCCTGGGTTCAGACCCCAGCAATAGCGCCAACAAAATAAAAGCAAAGCAATAAATTAGATATCAAGAACATCATGCGATCCTCTAATAGCCGTATATGCCAGTGAATGTTAATAGGTTTACGACTTCATAGCCATGCCTTTCCTTTCTCTTGCCCTCTTATATAGGGTTAAATAAAATCTGATTTTTGTTTGTTTGTTTGATTTGAGACAGGGTCTCACTGTGTAGTCCAGGCTGTCCTTGAACTCTATGTGACTGGCCTCAAATTCATGGCGATCTTCTTGCCTCAGCCTCCTGGGAGCTGGGAGAAAACCTGACTTTTAAAAGTGCGAATGAAAGTTTATTAGCATGGCTTTTGTACTTTTTCTTCTGGACACACTCTGGGTAACTGGTGGTGGTACAGAAGATGAGGCTTGGAGGAGGCTGGGCGGGTCTGTATGGGACCCTATGGGCCTGGGATGAACAGGAGGATGAGGCTGCTTAGCTCTGTGGGGCAGAAAGGGGTCACAGTGGCTGGTGGAAGGGAAGGAGCAGAGCGTGGAAAGGGGCGGCCGGGGCAGCCTGCAGGGGCTAGCGCAGCATGGGTGTCTGGCTAGTGTGAGGTCATGAGTTCGATTCCCAGTACTACACATACAAAAATGTTTTAACAAAATTTTTAAATAGTGACTTTAATAAAACTCTCCCTATGTAAAATAAATCTTTTCGTGCATCTAAAAAAATCTAGGATAACTATATGGAAGAAAACTTCAAAGGTAACCTAACAACTATGGCCAACCCACAACATTATACAGTAAATGACACTATTGAGAAGGACATAAGCTGGGTGTGGTGGTGCACACCTGTAATATGACACTATAGGAGACTCAGGCAGAGGACCATAAATTAGAGCCCAGCCTGGGTAATTTCGTGGCTAAATGGGAACAGGAATGGAGGAGCAGCAGACTGACTGCTCCTGGGCTAGGCTGGGACAGGGTCAAGACCCAAAAAATGTTTAAAAGAAGGAGGAGGGGGAAGGAGACGTTGGTTTGCTCATCAAGTGTGTATCCAGGGCCCCATAAACCCAGTGCTTCAAGTGGAACTTGAGCCCCAGTGTGAATCAGCCTCGATCCCTCTCAAGTACCCGTAGATTGACTAGACAGATATTTTAATCGCAATAGATAACAGGAGAATGCTGAGCACCAAGTTCTGTCTCTATTCAAATGTGTTATATGAATTGTGTCTCTTAATATCAAAGCAATCATTGAATAAGATAATTAATACATGTGGTGCCAGGTGTGGTGGCGCTCACCTATAATCCCAGCTCTCTAGAGGCTGAGGCAGGAGGATCACTGTGAGTTTGAGGCCAATGTGGCTATGCAGTGAATTCAAGACCAGTCTGAACTACACATCGAGACCCTGCCTCAAAAAGAAAATAATACAAAAAAAACCCAAATGTGGTATCTTAAAATACACTGTGTCAGGAGGATCCTAATACTCCATCCCTGGAGTAGCTGCTGGACTTTGCAGTTTGGGTTTTTTTAGGGTCAGGGATATAGTTCAGCAGCACAGGCAAGCCTGGCAAGCATGAGGTCTTGAGTTCAATTCTCGATACTAAAAAAAAAAGGCGGGGCGCTGGGGATTTAGCTCAGCGGCAAAGCACCTGCCTGGGAAGCGCAAGGTCGTGAGTTTGATTCCTGGCACCAGAAGAAAAGACCAAAAAACCCAAACAAACAAAGAAACAAAAAAAAACCAAACAAACAAATTAAAGAAAAAAAAGAAAAGACCTCACAACAGGTTGTCTTTTTTTGTTTGTTTATTTTTGGTTTTGTTTTTTGAAACAAAATCTTTCTCTGTAGACCAGGCCAGCTTCGAACTTTCCATCCTCCTGACTCAGCCTCCTGAGTGCTGGGATTCTAGGTCTGCCCCACCACGTGGGTGGAATGGCTTTTAGTGCTTACAGAGTAAAGAGGAAAAGACGGAAGCTGTAAAACAGCATTTGCTCTGGATGTCACTAACACACTCTGAGAGCCGCTTGCTACTCAGCAGCAGGTAACTAATACAGTGCGACGGGAGGGGCTGCTATTTGCTAAGGTCACAGAGCTAGGGTGTGTGAGTTCACTCCCGCGCCCCGCTCATCCTAGCTAAGGCTCACTGCCCAGCTGAGATGCCTCAGAGCTAATGGAGTGACCGGGATTACCGGTTAGCAATGATGTTGCTATAGAATGCCGCAATTACACCCTGGAATGCTCCAGATGAACTGGAACCCTGCAGTAGGACAACTCCGAGCACAGTCCGCGCTCTCTACGGCCGCACAACTGGGTTTCCAGGACCCGTAACCGTGCACGTGACTGCCCACCAACGGAACTTCCGCTCCGAGAAAGGATGCCCCATGCACCTGTTCTGTAGCATCCACTCGCTACCTACTCAGTATTCACTGCCTCTGTTTTGTTTGATAACAAAACCCTAACACTGCATGGTACCAGTAATCATCCACCTCGAAGAAGAAATTGCATCTTCCAGCTCCTTTATTAGATGGTCCAGCACGTCAGTAGAAGTTGTCTGGTCGGGCATCAAAAAATGCTCCTGTGACAGGGCGGCTAGCTTACGCCCTTTTCCCTCTGCAATTTCTTTACAGCTGCTACATGGAACGTAAGTTCAAAGGGATGTGACGGCAGCTGCACTGTGAAGAGCGAAACACCCTCCGTAAGTGATGTCACGATCTAAGAAACACAAACCAGAAAGTTTGGGTTTCTGATAACTATGGGTTCATCATCCCAGTCTTTGACTATAAGCATTCACATTGTGCTTTGTGATGGGAAAATACAAAGATGCTCTTATTCAGGTTTTCATTATACTTTCACTAATTTATTCCTAACTAATAAACCCACCTTAATTCCTTACACAAGGAGTTTAAATTGAGCTCCAAACATTTTTATTCTTTTTGTTTTGTTTTTTCTGTTTTTCTTCCAGTACCAGCAATTGAACTCACAACCTTGCACTTGCCAGGCAGGCGCTTTGCTGCTGAGCTAAATCCCCAGCCCCCAAACATTTTTATTCTTACCTGACATTGACAGAAATTATTCTACATTGATCACTTTTCCTACTTTAGGTAGCCAATACAGAAGCTTTGCTAGCAGATTTCTTGATGATGGGAAATTATTACTTACAGAGCCAGTTCATTCCCATTTGGGTAACCTTGTGAGTTTTCTGTGCACTGTGGAAGCTCCGGAATTAATAAGACAAGTATGAATTGAGTTACTATGAGTAACACCCTAATTTTAGACGATCTGGTACTTCCCCCAATTCTGTACCTTCTAAATGATTCATTAGGGGTTTTCTAAAATCTCCACTCTTACTTCCTCTAAAACTTGAGCCCTAATTAAGGATTTCTAGCTTTCAATCATTCTAGAAATGTGCCAGGAGATTTTCATGAAATGTTAAATATTTGGATTTAACAGGAAACGATAACGTTCACTAAGGAATTAGAGACAGAGCTCTTAATTACATAATTGAATTAGGTTTAGCTCACAGGAACAAAAAAAGAATTAAAGGTTTGGCCCATGTTCTACATTTTTGTAGAGCATAAAGGCAATCTACGGCTCTTCTTCTCTTAAGTTCTGAAAAAACAATTACTATTATGGAGACAGTTGCATGACTTAACCCTACTGTTTAGACATGCGCAAGATCGCTGACAAAGCTGAGTTAACTTTATTTTTTTCAGTTTTTAGAGTGAAGGCCTCACTAAGTAGTCCAGCTGGTTTTAACTTTGAGGTCCTCTTGCCTGAGCTTTCTGGAATTACAGGCATGTGCCACTAAGTCAAGGCTGAGTTGACATTTTTTTTATTCCAAATCTATCAGTTTAAAACATTTTAATAAAGAGTCAGAGATATAGCTCAGTGGCACAGAGACTATCTGGCTAGCGTGAGTTCATGAGTTCGATTCCCGGTACTACACATATAAAAATGTTTTAACAAAATTTTTAAATAGTGACTTTAATAAAACTCTGCCTATGTAAAATAAATCTTTTTGTGCATCTAAAAAAATCTAGGATAACCAAATGGAAGAAAACTTCAAAGGCAACCTAACAACTATGGCCAACCCACAATGTTATACAGTAAATGACTCTATTGAGAAGGACATAAGCTGGGTGTGGTGGTACACACCTGTAATCCAACACTATAGGAGACTCAGGCAGAGGACCATAAATTAGAGCCCAGCCTGGGTAATTTTGTGGCTAAATGGGACCCTGTCTCAAAATAAAAAATAAAAATGTGCTGGAGACACTGCTCAGTGTAAAACCCCTGGGTTCAATGGCCAGTACAAGACAAGGAAGAAGAAGGAGAAAAAGAAGAGGAGGAGGAGGAGGGAGAGATATGGGCATGGTACACAAGCCTGTAATCCTAGCTACTTGGGAGGCTGAGGCAGGAAGATCTAGAGGCCAAGGCCAGGCAACTTAGCAAGACCTTGTCTGACAGGGGGGGAGAGAGAGAGAGAGAGAGAGAGAGAGAAGAGAGAGAGAGGAGAAAAGAGAAGGGAAGGGAAAGGAAGGGGAGGGGAGGGGTGAAAGAAAAGAAGAGAAGAGAAGAGAAGAGAAGAGAAGAGAAGAGAAGAGAAGAGAAGAGAAGAGAAGAGAAGGAACAAGCAGAAGATGAGGAGGGGAACGAGGACTGGATGAGCACTTCACAGGGATGGAACAGGTCCGCACTGTTGAACAGAAGTTAATGCAGTAACAGGAATACTCTCTGCTGATGCTGGCTGCATCCTGATGTCCCCCATATGCAGCGTCTGAGCCCTTGAAATGTGACTGCTGTGATGAAGACATCAAACTGTACTTTAAAAACTGCACTGTCCCTCGTGGGCCAGCGGCTACCAGCCTGGACAGTGTTTTACTGCTGGTGTTCATACAAAGGCTGGAGAACCAGATGTGACGGTTCAATGCCCCTTCCGAGTTTATCTTGCCATCACTCCCAAAATCAGTAGTTAAACTTTATTTCTTTCCATTTCTGCTCCACTCTGAGGCACATTTTCCCCTTCTAACATATGGCGTGGTTTCATTCATTCCTTGTCCTCTCAAGACAACAGCATGCTGGTGCGGTGGAAAGCACAGAGGCAGCTCAGCATCCACATTTCTGAGTTTTCTGGTTTTCCTCTTAGTGGTCACTCAGCTCTTCCCTTGGGGACAGGTGCATCCCTCACCCTGAGATGCAATGGCCAGATGCCAGCCTGGGAACCAAGTGTCAACACTGACACTTCTGGCTACACCCGACAGCTCTCTGCTCAGAAGCAGCACAGTCACAGAAACTGACTGTTGGTGCTGGAGCAATAAGGGTTCTGTGTGAGATCAAGAGGATCTTAAACAGCGCACCATTTATACCCAAGATTGGGGCTGCAAATAATTCTCTCCATGGCCTGCATCCTTCCCAGCATTCTCAAGGACTCTCGAAGGGACTTGAGACTTAGGCCAGCACTAGGGTCTCAGTCTCACTGACACCTCATCTCCTTTGCCCACTCAACCCTGCACCTGAAGACAGAGTGTGGCCCCTTTCACACTGACCCCACAGAACAACCCCAATGCAAGGTGGTTGCACGTAGCAAATTCCGTAGAGTTTGAGGAGAATGGCAGAGAAAACGTTTGAGGGCAATGTAATGGGGAGCAGCTGACCATTCACAGGTGAATTTCAGATATTCTTGTTCTTTTAGATACTCAGTCATTGCTACTGCAGGAACTGTGTTGCCTTTTTGTTGCTATGACAAAATACCTGACATAAACACAAGAGGAAAGTTTATCTCGGCCCACGGTTTCAGGGGGTTCAGTCCATGGTAAGAGGGCTCCATTGTTTTTAGGACTCTGGTGAAGCAGAAACATCATGGCAGAAGGGCATGGCCCAGTAAAGTTGCTCACCTCATGGCAGCCAGGAAGCAGACAGAGAGAAAGAGAGAGAGAGGAAGCAACCAGAGACACATGTAGTCCTTAAGGTCGTCCCCCATGCTGCACTCCTTTCAACCAAGTTTCACCTGCCAACAGCTCATTCAGCAAGGGACTCAGTGGATTAGTCCGTTGATGAGATCAGTGTCTTCAGGACCTGATTTCTTCCTGACAGCTCATCAGTGGGCCTTTGGGAGCCACTTTAGACCTAAACTATAACAGGGACTTCTCACTGTCTGTATCTCCTTAACCTTCTGACCCCCAATCCCGTTGTGTGCATCTGGTTCCAGCAGACCAAAACTTCTGTGTTCTCTTCTCATTCTCTGCCCCTTCTTCTTATCCTGGGCCAAAGCGGTATCTAAATCTCTCTCAGATTTCACGCTAAAATTTTTAGAGTTCTCTCTTTCCCCTCCCCATTTTATGCAGATTACATTTGTCAGACTCAAATTTTCAAGTAAAAAAATTAAAGTAAAAAATGTACTTATCTTACTTTACCTTAAAAGGATTCTGGCTCCAGATTTCGAAATGTTTTCCTCTTTTCATGTAACAATATAGGTTGTGTAACTATGAATGTGATAAGAAAAACATGTTTCAGAGAGGATTAGCTATGGCCCTGAAATGAATACAGCAATCTGGAATTAGAAGGCAGATCTCTCGAGGAGTTTATCTCGCTCTTACGCTGCAGCTATAAACAACATGGGTTAAATAGGATTTTGCATGAACATCTGAGACTCACAACCATTTATGGTATTGTTTCCAATGGCATAACAGACCTTAGAGAAATAAATCATATAATGCAGGCACAAGGGTATGCTCCTATAATCCCAGATATCTAGGAAGCTGAGCCAGGAGGATTGCTGGAACCAGTGAACTCAGGGTCAGCCTAGGCAACACAGGGAAACCTCAACTCAAAAAAGAAAAAAAAATAAGTGTACAGATAAAAAGTAATTGAAAGTAGCTTGACAATATTATGTATGTGTGTGTCCATATATATATACATATATACATAACTTGCTTTATATTTTACATGGGAATATTAAGAGTTCAGCCAATATAGTGATGATCCAATGCTACATATAAGAAAAGGAAATTTAAAAGATGAAAAAGCATGTCTCATCCTCAGGAAATTTCCCTTAAAACCTCTGGCACTTACGTAGGGGAAAAGTAATTCTCATGTGCCTCCAATTTTTAACTTCAAGACTAATCAGTTATTTTGACAAGAAACTTTAAAAATGTCCCTGTCATCCCTGTTATCTAAGTCTGTGGTTGAATCCACTGTGACTCTTCTGTGATTGCTGGCATGTTATTCTTCGGGTCAGAATGCAATGTTGGCTTACGCTTCTTCTCCTCTGCCCTGTGTATTAGGAGTGGGTTCTTCCTCCTGCAGGAACCATGCCGGTCACACCAGCCACTCCCTCGGCAGCCCTAGGTCTCTGGTTGTGATGGTCTGAACGCAGCTTCTCCTCCTCCCCACACTTGGGCCGCTGCTGCTGTATTTAAAAACAACTTATTTTAGACTTGACAACAAAACTTGCCATTATTTTTGTAGAAATTTTCTTCACTAGCAAATATTGATTGTACTGTTTTCTATTTGAACTACCTTGATATCCATTTTTATGAACTGTGACTTACCTGCAGTAGAGTGAAATAACGTTTTTGCTGCTTTGAGCTACTTTTGACAGTTTCAGAGAGCCAAGCCAATGCTGACTAATACAGACAAATTAAGCTGCGGGTAGGCACAGTTTATAAAAAAAAAAAAATCCCAATAATTATGTGGAACGCTGTGTATTTTCCTTATTACAATGTGAATAATTTATATTCTAGGCACAAACACCCTTATTTTCAGTCTCACCCAACCCCTGAAATCAGGACAGTCAGTATCATGACTAATAGATAGCCTCATTCAAGATAAAGACCCGCACTTGGCAGCAAAGAGTCAAGAAGCTCAAGGGAGAAAAAGAGTTGTTACCTACTCAAAAGCAATGCTAGACAAGAAAAATTAGTACAAGAGAATGGTGCGTTTTCATAACTATTTTATTCCAGGTTGTCCCATCAAACATTTCCAAAACATAAAAAATAGAACGGGCTGGCTAAGGCAACTTTCTTTCCTCTTCTAGCATAGCTTACCCTTGTGAGACTTTGGTAGCACTAACGTGACAAAATTAGGAAGACAAAGAAGGCACTTGGTTAAGAAACGAGGCTTTTCTAAAAGGTTCTTGTGGGTAACTTCCTGTCAGATTTTAATCCAAAATAAAACTGATGGGCGGAGTAAAGAAGAACTGAAGGCGACCGGAGAATCTGGGAGAGGTGGAATGCAACACCGGCTCAGGACGAGGGACTGAGGCACCCAACTTGCCGACTTGCCCGTAGCCAAAAAGCAAAGCTTGTTGTGAGTTAGTGACACAGCAAGGGCAGCCGTCCCGCCCACCCCACGTCTCTGCGCCAAGAATCTGCCGCTGTATTTGCGCCCCGCGTGCAGTAGCAAGAAGACAGATATAGGAAGGAGGTGTAGCTCAGCCCCACTCCCGCAGGTCTGGAGTTCGACGCCCAGCGCTGCGCGGGGCAGGGACAAAACAGACCTAAAAGGCGTTCGTGGCAAGTGACCCTAAAGCACAGCACCTGAGCGCAAGCCAAACCCCCAAAATGTCTTGTTTAAGAAAAGTGGCTCTTTTTAATCAACTAAAAGCAAACGCGATTTACTTGCCTACTCCTGGAGTTAAGGTGTTTCCGTATATTTTCCTGTATTTAACATTCACCTTGGATTTCCTCTTTCCATTTGGTTTAGACCAAAGGAAAATTCGCCAAGGGCCGTGCCTCCCTGAGTCAGCAAATGAATTTCCCATGGCTCCCGCAGCCAGATGAGTCACCAGCCGGCAGGGGGAAGTCACAGAGTCCTGGCCGTCTGGCCCGCTTGAGAAGCAATGTGACAGTCAATTAGTCTAGACAGTCCGGGGCAGCCTGTTGGCCATGTATGGTATCATTTCCTCCTACCCTTGTCTTTCCTAGGACAGCTCAGGGAGCAGAGTCTCTCTCGGGAATACATGTGAAACTGCCAAATTTAGTGGATAAAAATACAGGATGTTCAGTTAAGTTTGGATTTCAGATAAACAGTGAATGCTTTTTTAGTACACCTGCCTCCTGCGTGTGAGTTTCAGGATGTACTTTCACTTTTAAAGTGTTTATCGGGCGTGCACTTCTCATTGGGCGCCCTGCACGCCTGTGTCTTGCTTCCTACTATCCACCCGCAATGCTGCTGCAGGACGTCGTAGAGGTGAACGTCTGTCTTCCTGAGTTTTAGAGAAGGAAAGTTGTTATTTTGCTTTCATCTTTTCTTGGCCGTATAATTCCTGTCAAACATCAGAAAGAGACAAAAGTGATCAATGGCAAGAAGTCCTCAGAGCAGAGCTTCTCAGACTTTGATGTGCGCAGAACGAGACAGGGCCTTGGGGGACCAGGGCCAGAAACAGCAGCTGGGTGGGCAGGGGAAGCAGTGTGCACCTCTAGCCCGGCCCGGGGAAGAGCCCAACTGCTGTCTGGACCGGGTCATCGCCAGCAGCATGGCTTTTAGTGGTTCTCGCCCTTTGTTGTCTGTCAGAATGTCCCGGCGAGCTTTGGGAATTCCTGGTGAGCAGCCCCACCCCATACATATAAAATCTGAATCCTTCAGGCGGTGGTGGGGGAGCCAGGGGTCAGGGTTTCTCCTAGCACTCCTCAGTTGCTTTCTGCATGCAGCCAATGTGAGGAACTGCTGGCTTGATCAGTGAGGTCAGGTCTACACTGACCACCGTTCATTACAAGGCATCGCTTTAGCGGGAGGCAAGTGCTTAAAAGACAAGCGTGCTGCTTCTTATGCACTCTGTAATCTCTTCCAGTACTCCATGCCCTGTTTTTGCTTCTTCTCCTAATTCTTCTCTCCTTCTTTCTTCCTCTCTGTGTTGGTTACTTTTCTCTTGTTTCCAGGACAAAATACTCAATGCCAAAAATTGAGGAAGAAAAGTTTATTTAGTTCACAGTTTGTGGAGGTTTCAGTCCATTTTGGGCTGGCTCCAAGGTGGGATGGCACATGGCAGAAGACAACAGTTCACGGTGGCAGAAAACAGAAAAGCAGCGAGAGCAAAAAGGGAGGAGCAGGCAGGGAAGAGCAAACCTCTTTCTCTCCCTTACATTGTATGCAGGCTGCCTGCCCCAGGGCAGGTGTAGCACTCGTACCCATAATCCCAGCATTGGACCCCGAATCAATCATAAACTCTAGAAGCCCACTCCATGTCTGCATCAGGCTTTGGGGGGACATTCAGATGCAAACCATAACACTCTCATTCCCCTTTTCCTTCCCTCCTCCTTCTTGGAGATGGGGTCTCCCTGTGTTGCTTCAAACTCTAGATCCTCCTGCCTCAGCCTCCCCAGGATCTGAAATTACAGGTGTGCGGCACCACGCCTAATTTTACTGTCATTTTGAGACTGACTTTGGAAGAATCTACACTCCTCTTTTCAAACATACCCACTTTAAATTGTGCTTTTAAGGAGCTGAGAAAAGCAATAGATTCCTATCATGTTTACCAGTACAATAAATACTTTCCACATTTGAAAATCTTGTATCTATAGCATCACAGTTGTTGGAAAATATTTTTTCCATGTGACTAAAGCAATATATTTTTCTTAATGTCTCTAATAGAAAACAAGCAACTGCCACCTCAGAGTTAGTCTGGCTTGGAAAAGACTGGGATTTACAGTCTGGTCTTCTTGTGATTCCCAGTAGAATAAAGGGACATAGGGCTTGGGATTTAGCTCATGGCACAGTGCCTCCCTGGCAAGTGTGAGGTCATGAGTTCAATCCCCAGTACCAAAAAAAAAAAGAAAAGCTTTCAAAGCTTCTGGCCTTTAGCTTAGGGCAGATAGTGAACGCTTAGGTAAGCAGCGACCAGCAGAGCTTTTATAAAGGCCTTGCTTCTCTACCAAATACCTGTGTTCTCCATGGCATGCTTGCATTGCACCTTCCTTCAATTCCCTTTCCCTTTCCCTTTCCCTTTCTCTCTTTTTCTTTCTTTCTTTCTTTCTTTCTTTTTCTTTTTCTTTCTTTCTTTCTTTCTTTCTTTCTTTCTTTCTTTCTTTCTTTCTTTTTCTTTCTTTCTTTCTTTCTCTCTTTCTCTCTCTCTCTCTCTCTCTCTCTCTCTCTCTCTCTCTCTCTCTCTCTCTCTGTCTCTCCCCTCCTTCCTTCCTTCCTTCTTTTCTTTTTCATAGAATTTCACTAAATTTCCCAGGCTGGCCTCCAACTTTCAATCCTCCTGCCTCCACTTTCCAAGTAGCTGGTATTATAGCACATCTCCACACCTGGCTCCATTGTCCCAACAGCTCTGTTTAGAGCAAGGGCATTTGTGTGTGTCCCGTGCATCATGCTGGCACACTAGCCCTGGACACTTTCTTTAACTTTCCCTTTTCTTTCGCCTTCCCAGCTCATCTGTGTCCTCTTTCCTCATCTGGTCCACGCCTCTCGTTTCTTCACTGCTCAGTCTCTGCCCTTCTAGAATCCACAGGCAGGGCCTCTACTTGCCCAGGTCCCGGCCCTGGGAAACAGCCGGAAGGAGCCCGAGGAAGTCCACACCCGCCGCGCCCCAGAAAGTGACTGCGAGGAGACCCCAGAGCCATTCAGAGCCGCTGCGGATTACCTGCAGATGCGAGCCTGCCTTTCTGAAGCTTGTGTGTCTGCATCGTCCTGGCTGTTGAAGCAGGGTAGAGCACCCTTACCCAGGGCACGGGTGAGGGCCAAGCAGTGGCCTCCAGTTCCTGCATACAAAGTCAGCTTCCCAAAAAAACTCTTTTCCTAAGCACTGCTAGCTTGCTTCTCCTGCCAGAAAAGGCTCACACGAGGGCATGGCGGCACATGCCGCAAACCCAGCACCTAGGAGGCTGAGGCAGGAGGATTGCAAGTTTAAGGCCAGCCTGGGCTACACAGTGAGACCCTGCCTCAAAACAAACAAAACAAAAAATCCTACCAAGCTCCTCCCGCAGAAAAAAGGTTCATACACATTTTGTTAAGATGGTGGGGTTTTATACCCCTAGCTCTTTATAACAAACCTAAACTAGTGCTATCACTACCCTGCTTCATTGTAAAAATGAAGGGGGTGAGACCTGGAGAATAATGACTTGCCCATGGTCACATTGGGAATTGGGTATCAAAGGTCAGAGGAAAACATAAAAATCAAGTCAGAGGTGAAATTCTCAGGGTAGCTTAGCTGCTATGTATTTGAATATATCAGAGCCTATGCCCTGCTATGTTGCCTCTTGCATAAAATATTGTTCTTGCAGAAGATGTTAAGTTTAGAGGGGATTTAGCTGGGGATTTAGCTCAGCGACACAGTGCCTGCCTGGCAAGCACAAGGTCGTGAGTTCGATTCCCAGTACCAGAAAAAAAAAAAAAAAAAAAAAAGAAAATGTTAAGTTTGTAAAGGTCCCTCATTTTAAGTATAATGATAGTAAATGCATTAACTAACTACGTTAGTTTTCTCCCAGTAGTTAAGGTTACTAGAAGTGCTACTAAAACACTTAGTGACTGATCCTAAGTCACAGTCAATCACAGTAAGAATTTCATTCTCTTTTTTTTTTTTTTTTTTCTTGGTATCAGGAATCAAACTCAGGACTTTGGGCTTGCCAGGTAGGCACTTGTGCCACTGAGCTACATCCCCAGTCCTATTTTCTCTTACTTTCTGATCAGGTAAAAGGC